ACGTTGGTATAAGTTTGAGCGCCATTAATGGTGATGCTTTTATTGTCGCTAACGCGGGTTATTTTAAGATTCTGGAATGTGACTGTGATAGCTGCTCCGGCATTTTTCCATTGTGTGCCCTGTGCCATCGACAATACTACTACACCGGTACGTGTGCGATTGCCAAGGCAATTTGCACCATTATACGTGATAGTGATGGTCATGGGATTGCTTGCTGAGTTTAATACCACATCAGCATCGCAGATAATACCGGTAAGGTCCTGGAAACGCCCGGTAAAGTTGGTGGAAGATTCGATTGCAATATCGGCGTCGTTGGAGACTGCGTCCACTTCAGCGGAAAACCTGGACTGGTCATCTGAATGGGTGGCCACCTGGTCATTGTTATTGTTTGAGGAGCTGCCATCCTTCTTACATGCGGTAAAGAAAACAGCGAGTGAAAATGTAAGCAGGTAGAGAAAATGCTTTTTCATAAAAAGTTTGGGTTTGTTATTAATGCAGGAATAGACTGAGATGGCTGTTGCTGGTTTAACGTTGCAAATACATTTTTTTAAAAACAGCAGATGCCTGCTGAGCCAGCTTCTAAAACGCTGTAGCCGTGCCTTTATTACAGGGAGATAGCAGGAAATATACTATCAGCATGATGAAATTATACGATTAATGCCGGCCTACTTGTAAATGCATTTACTATTGTCCGCTTTTATGAAATAGGATTTATAATTGGTTGCGGCCGGGTCCATGCAGCCTTCGAGATTTAGCAACTCTATATCTTTAAATTCTACCGGGTGACTTTCGGCTTGCAATGCGATAAAACCGCTTGCCAGGCGTTGATCCTGTCTTGACATCCATTGAGTAGAATCGGCACCGAATCCAAAATTGGCCCAGCCCTGGCCAACGCTGATAAAACCACCTCCAATCTTTGGATGGAAGTAGGACAACACTGTGTCTTTGTTGACCAGGTGATAGATCACCGAATCGCCAAGTACGACTGCTTCGGCTTCCACCCATTCTGATGGAGCAAAGTTGGGGGAGGTCGAATTGATGCAATGGTCATAAACGGCTTTGCCATTCATTTCAATATAGGTACCCGGGGTGCAGAGATTACCAGTTGCGCTTTTGCGGGTGGAATCACTTCCGAGAAATTGCATTTCAAGTGACACGGGGAAACCCTGGTTAAGTCCATTGGAGGCTGCTGATTGCGCGTGCAACATTATTCCGCTGTTGAGGTAAGC